CAAGTTCTAATACCACATTTGTGTTGCAGTATTTCTTTTAAGTGAGTAGGCCCCCAGTGTGGCAGGTTGTTAGGCTCAGGGGCTTACAATTGCTATAAGCCTCCAGCCTTTAAGTCTCTTGTCAGCTCTCTGAGGATTGCAGCTGGGTGGGGCTGGCCTCAGGCATGGGAGGACCCAATTGTTTCAGGCTTTGGAAGGTGGGGCAAACCCCCTATGTGGGTCTTTGAGAAGCACAAGTCTTCTGCAGCCGACAAGCCCTGCCACCCACAGGTCCACACACACAGTCAACACTGTCCTGCCCCATGTGCGCGCCCCGACCTCCTGGAGCAGACCCAGTCTCTCCACGGCGGGAGCCCCACACACTCCACCACTGCCCCACACTCTCCACCCTCTCCTTGTGCACGCCCTGCCCCTCTGAAGTGGGCTCAGTTGCCAGGCTGCAGAGAATCCAGTCACCAATCTATGCAGGCCCACACGTTGCCTGAGGGCTTGTTGTTGGGTGGGGCCAGTCTCTAGGGTGGGCTGCCTGCCCTGGCTGAGCTGGTTTAAATCAGTGTTCTAGCGGGTGGGGCAGACCTGGGCTAGCAGGCCCCAGGGAGAACTCCAATGGCATCTGTGTCAGCATGTCCACACCAGTCCCCAACAATGGCCGCTGCCAATGTCCCAGTCCATGGAGAGGTCTCACCTCTCACCGAGATGCACTCAGGGCCTGTCAGGTGAGTCTCTTCACCAAAGCACTGTGCACCTTTCTTTCTGGTGATTTTAGGTTGCTTTCTGAACAGGGTGAGTTTGTGCATGGGCCCTTTAAGAGCCGGTTTTAATTTCTTTGTGAACCAGCTTTTCTCGGGGTACTCCCCAAAGGTTTAGTAGCAGGCAATGTCAGATATGCCACTCGTCTCGATTGTGCTGGGTCCACAAAATACCCACAGCAGGGGCGCTCCCAGCTCAGGCCCCTACTCCTTCGGGGAGGGCTGCGGACCTTTGGGCTGCTCCCGGGCGGCCGTGAAGCTGGCGGCTTGTGAAGGCGGCGCTTTTCCTCTCCAGAAGGGAGTTTCTGCCTCTTCCACCTCAGTTAGGATTGTCCTTTGTTGCAGGAGTTCCTCTTATCGAGTTTTCACTTCTGTCTCAGGGGTAATTTTTCCACGAGTAGGTATAAATTGGCTGTGTCCACGGGGAAGGTGAGTTCAGAGTCTGCTTACACCACCATCTTGACTTCTCTGTCACTCAGTTATTTTTTAATGCTAGCAAACATAAAGAATTTTGATTAATATACTTTCTTTATTTTAAATGTGATTGGTCACTGTAAAACCTCAACAACCGTTCACGCATGGATTGAGATAAATTCACCTGGGCTTAGCACGTTCTTTTTTTTGCATACGTAGATTGTACAAATGGAATGTAAGCAAATATAAACCAGACTGCAAAAGGACCTTAAAACCATTTCAAAACCATAGATTCTTGAAAATAGGAAAGAGTTAAATGTTATTATAGTACAACCTAATGGCCAATGATATTAGTTACCTAACACTGACATTAGTCAAGGCGAGACTGGAGGACACTTGCCCAAGATATGGCAGAGAGTGTTCTTAGAGCAGAGGAGATATTACTCTGATGTTCACAAAGATTGCTGTAGTAGGCTGGATAATTGACCCTAAAAGATATTCATGTCCTAATCCCTGGAATCTGTGAATGTTACCTTATACGGCAAAAACAACTTGGCAGATATGATTAAGTTAAGGATCTTGAGATGGTAAGATTATCTCAGATTATCCACATGGGATTTAAATGCAATCACAGGTATCCTTATAAAAGGGAGACAGAGGGAGATTTGACTCCACACAGAAGAAGAGAAGGCAATGTAACCATGGAGGCAGAGATATGGGCAATGTGCCACAGCCGATGAATGCTGGCAGCCACCAAAAGCTGGACGAGGCAAGGAACTGACTCTCCCCTAGAGCCTCCAGAGGGAGCACAGCCCTGCTGACACCTTGATTTTGGCCCATTGAAACTGATGTCAGACTTCTGGCCTCCAGAACTGTGAGAGAATAAATTGCTGCTGTTTAAAACCGCTGAGTTTGTGGTAATTTTTTACAGCTGCCCTAGGAAGCTAATAGAGGCACCCACAACTCCTGTGCTCTATGAGTTTTTGATTCTAGACACCCTTTTGTAACCTCGACAAATGATAATGATGTTGGTAAACATTTGATCAGGGCTCACTATGTGCCATACACCATTCCAACAACTTTACATGTTTACCCCATTTAAATTTCTCAGTGACCTTATGACATAGGTACCATTACTACACCATTTTGCAGATAGGTACACAGAGGCTCAAGGAGCTTAAATAACTAGCCATGGTCACAAAGCTAGTAAGTGGTAAAGCCGGGATTTGAACCCAAGTAATCTGATTCCAGAGTCTGAGATCTTAACTATCATAAATAAGATAATGTCTGAGTATGTTTGATCCCTCCCAATGACGATAAAACAACCAAGTCATCACCATCTGTAAGGTGGACTATCTTTTCATGTGCAGATGCTTCTATTCAGTAAGAGGTTTTCTTTATATCAAGCCCAAATTTATCTCCTTCTATAACTTGTTGTCTGTTGTGAAACCTCTGAAGATACAAAGAGTTAATCTAATTGGTCTTTCACAATACAACTCATCACACCCCCTCAAGTTTTCTCTTTTCCAAGCTAAATCTCCCTGTATTTTAAACTCGTCCTCAAATGACATAATATCCCAATGCTTCACCATCGTAACTATCCCCATCATGAAACACCTCAGGTCTATTAATATTCCGAAAAGTGCAGTGTCCAGAACAGAATGCCATATTCTGGTTAGGTCTGGCCAGCTGAGAATACAAAGAAACTATTATTCCCTCTATTGGCCTGATCACAAATTCCATTAGGCTACCTTAACAATACATTCTTTGACATGAAAAGGTGCTCAACATCACTAATCAGGGAAATGGAAATCAAAATTACAGTGAGATATCATCTCACACCTGTTAGAATGGCTGTCATCAAGAAAAGAGATAAGTGTTGTAAAGGATATGGAGCAAAGGAAACCCTTGCGCACCGCTGGTGGGAATGTAAATTGGTGCAGCCACTATAGAAAACAGTATAAAGATTACTTAAAAAATTAGAACTACCATATGATCCAGCAATCTCACTTCTGAGTATTTATCCAAAAGAATTGAAATCAAGATCTCGAAAAGATATCTGCACTCCCATGTTCAATGCAGCATTATCCATAATAGGCAAGATATGGAAACAACCTAAGTGTCAGTCAATGAATTAATGGATAAAGAAGATGTGGTATATATACAATGGAATATTATTCAGCTACGAGAAAGAAGGAAATCCTGCCTTTTACAACAACATGGATGGACCTTGAGGGCATTATGCTAAGTAAGATAAGTCACACAGAGAAAGGTGAATTTATATGATATCACTTATACGTGAAATCTGAAAAAACCAAACTCATGGAAACAGAGACCAAAACGATGGTTACCAGAGGCTGGGGGGTAAGAGAAATGGGGAGATGTTGGTCACAGGGTACAAACTTCCAGTTATAAGATGAATAATTTCTGAGGATCTAATGTACGGCATGGTGATGATCGTTAATAATACTGTGTTATATACTTGAAAGTTGCTAAGAGAGTAGATCTTAAATGTTCTCACCACAAAAAAAAGAAATAGTAATTAGGCTGTGTGATGTAGGTGTTAGCTAACACTATGGTGGCAATCATTTTGCAATATATGTGTATTAAATCAACACATTGTATGCCTCAAACTTGCACAATGTTACATGTCAATTATATCTCAATAAAGCCAAGGAAAAACACATTCTTTGACTTAACAATATCATGGAAACTATTACACATACTTTCAATGTAAGGATAATAACCATTGAGAACACACAAAATAATTCAACAAGAAAAGTTAATTTTAGGACTCCAGGCAACAATATCAGATCAGATAGCATGAATACTTCCTGCTATAAAACATAGATGTTCTAGTTAAAATATCACAAGTATCCTTTTAAATACATGTCTGAGCTCAAAAGAAAGTAAGGGAAATCCCCAGAGATCAAAAATAAAGATGGAAGGAAACTCAGTGAGAGAGTGCCCTGCTGTGTTGGTGTGGTGACTGGGGAAGGGATTAGTCTGGTCTCAGTTAGCCCAGGGGCTTCGATTTTAATAGCTGCAAATATAGAACATAAGACCTGGGACCTTTGTAAAGCAGAGAGTTAGAAATGAGACCCTCACCTTTAATCCTTCACAGGGCTGCACTTGCAATGAAACAGTGTTCTGTATGCTCCCTGGCACAGGGAGGTAACAAGGAGGTTGGTGAAGTTCTACATTCCAGGTATCAGGAGTGGGGAGGAGCCTCCCCTGAAAATTCCTAACCAGAAGCCTGTCTTTCCATGAGTTTGGGTTTTATCTTACACTGTCCTTGCATGGTCCTGACACAAAAAGTTCTCCTGGAGCACCCGCAGGAGAAAATGAGAAATTTATCTAGATAGAGAAAGACTCAGCCCAAAGCACACAAAAATCCCATGGATAAAGCCCCACTGAGGATGCACATGCAAAACAAAATAGTAGAGCTCAAGAGAAAAAATATAGTATTCATGATAAATCAGCAGATAAACAGAAGGACTAGGACCCCAAGAACTTCAGATAACAAAACAGATTATTAAAAGAAAAAAAAAATACTATGCTTAAAATGCTTAAAAGGGTAGCATATTGAAAACACACATTTAATTCTGGTTCTCCCAAAAGCCCTACTCAAATGATAGTAAACTTTTTTCCTCCCTAAGGCATGAACTCACAAATTCACAAAGAAAAAAAATGAGAACAAAAACAGAAAAACCCTTTGGAGGATGGAAAGCTGACAGACTAGTGATAACTGACTAGCAGACAAGAAAAACTACATTCTAAAGTAGCAATAAGAAAAGCCAAGAAGCACCCAATTTACCCCACAGATAACAGCCCCACAGTCAACAAGGCTCACCCATATGCTCAAAATGTTTAGAGCCCCACTGGTACATATGAGCAGATGACCCAAGGATGAACTGATATCTGAGAAAGAGGATGTGGAAGTTAGACTGGACCTGAATTCCAATTCTGCAATTTCATACTATGTAACTTTAGGCAAGTTATTTACCTTCTTTATGTCTCAGCTTCCTCATCTGTAAAATTGGGGAAATGATAATACTCAACTCTAATAGTTAATATGACAATTAAATAAGTTAATATGTATAATGTACTAGAAGAGTGACTAGCACATAGTAAGTGTTCAATAAACGGTTGCTACTACAGTTGCCATTGTTGTCTAAAGAGAGTTCTAACATAGAAGAGAGGACAAATGAGGAAGCCAAAGCAAATTAGAGGAAATGGAGATGATAGAAGGCAAAAAAAATTTTTAACTTTATTTTTTTGTGTGAGGAAGATAAGCCCTGAGCTAACATCCATGCCAATCCTCCTCTTTTTGCTGAGGAAGACTGGCCCTGAGCTAATATCCGTGCCCATCTTCCTCCACTTTACGTGGGACGCCGCCACAGCATGGCCTGACAAGCAGTGTGTTGGTGCGTGCCCAGGATCCGAACCTGGGCCGCCAGCAGCAGAACGCGCTCACTTAACCGCTACGCCATGGGGCCGGCCCCTATTTTAACTTTTAATAACAACCTCAGAGAGATAAAATATCCTGGCTAATGTGTCCAAGAAATAAAAGCAGACATTTATTTTTCAAGAAAAATAATACTCAGAGAATAAATCTGGTTAACATAAAGAATGGATGATAGACTTCAAGAAATCTCTGAAAGCACTTCTGGAATGATGGGAAAAGGATATCCAAAAGTCCACTCCTCCATAAAAGTAATGGAACACTAGCAAAAATTGTCAAAATCAACTTATTCAGAACTCTGGAAATTAACCAAGGACATAAAACAATCTGAGTGTTTACTCAAGGAAAACATCTGAGTCTATTAAGGACATTAAGGTTTGTGGTGTTCCAACTTAGCCTATTCTCATCACCCTCCACCCAGCTCTGCAATAGCTTTGAAAACCAACAGTCTAGTGAATACAGTAGCTGTGGGAACCAGCTAGGAAATATCTAATTAGCACAAAGCAAAACAGCAATGGAGGAATAGAGAAATAAAGAGGATAAATGATATAGAGATATAAATAGCAAACTTGCAGACATAAATCCTACCTTAGCAGTAATTTCATTAAATGTAAGGGGATTAAACACTCTAATCAAAAGGCAAAGATTGACAGATGGACTAAAAATATATATGTGATCCAACTATATGCTGTCTACAAGAGATACACTTTAGATTCAAAGACACAAATAGGTGAAAAGTAAAAGGGCAATAAAGGACATACCATGCAAACAGTAAGCAAAAGAAGCTGGAGTGGCTATACTTAAATCAGACAAAATAAACTTTAAGATAAAACTGTGACTAGAGACAAGGAAAACATTTTATAATGGTAAAATGGTCATTGCATCAAGAAGACATAACAATTACAAACATATATTCAACTAACAAAAAAGTCCCAAAATAAATGTAGTCAAAACTGACATAATTAAAGGAAGAAATACACAATTCAACAAAAATAGTTGGAGACTTCTAAACTCCACCTTCAATAATGGATAGAATAGCTAGACAAAAGATCAACAAGGAAGTAGGAAAACTGAACAACACTATAAACTAAACCCAGCAGGAATCCATGGAACTCTCTACCCAACAACAGAAGAGTATACATTCTTATCAAGTGCTCATGAACATTCTCCAGGATAGATCATATGCTAGGCCATAAAGCAAGTTTTAATATACGTATAAGGATATATATCATACAAAATGTGTCCTTTAGCCACAATGAAATGAAATTAAAAATCAATAACAGAAAGACATTAGGGGGCCGGCCCTGTGGCTTGGTGGTTAAGTGCGCGCGCTGCAATGCTGGTGGCCTGGGTTCGGATCCCGGGTGCGCATCAAGGCAGCACTTCTCCATCCATCCTGAGGCTGAGTCCCACATACAGCAACTAGAAGGATGTGGAGCTATGACATACAACTATCTACTGGGGCTTTGGGGGGAAAAAATAAAATAAATAAAATCTTTAAAAAAAAAAAGAAAGACATTAGGGAAATTGACAAATATATGGAAATTATAGAACAGAGTCCTAAATAACTGAGTCAAAGAAGAAATTGCAAGGAAAATTAGAAAATACACTGAGATGAGTCAAAACAAAAACACAACATACCAAAATTTATGGTATGTAGCTGAAGTAGTCCTGAGAGGGAAGTTTATAGCTGTAAAAGCCTGTATTAAAACAGAAGAAAGATCTTAAGTCAACAACCTAACTTTCCACTTCAAGGAACTAGGGGAAAAAAAGCAAACTAAACCCAAACCAAGTATAAATGGAGATGAGGGGAGGAGCAGGAAGGAAAGGGGGAAGAAGAGAAGAGACCCCCAGAAAGTTAGAAATTGAAACTAGGAAAGCAAAGATAAGAAAATTAGAGGAATCGTCCAGGAGGTCCAACATCTGAATAAGATGAGTTAGGGAATGGAGGAAATGGAGAGGAATAAACCATCCACATAACAACTATTATTCAAGAAAATTCCCAGAACTGAAGGTTACAAGTTTCCAAATTTAAAAGACACATTAAGTCACCAACAAAATGGATGAAAATAAATTTACACCAAAACACATCAATGTGAAATTTCAGAACATTAAAAAATATATGTGTCATAGTACATTTCATGGCTTGATTGTGAATAGTGCTTATGAAGCCATAATAATATACATTGAATATAGGAATACAATCTAACAAATTTCAACGAGTTCTATGGAAAAATGGGGAAATGGGAAGATTTTGCTTTGTGGTAGGAACCAAGGATGAAACAGAGCTAAATCTTTCTATATTTGAAATTGCATAGATAACACTTAAAATTGAAAAATCAACAAATATCAATAAAAGTATGTTATTTAGAGGCATAACGTTAAATTCCAAAATAATAAGATAATTAAAGATAAATTTTCTCTGGAAGAGGAAAATACGGAGGGAAGAGGAGAGGGAGCAAGACAAAAGTAAAAGAAATCACAAGAAACCACTAAAAAGGCAG